TGAAGAGGACTTACTGATTGGTTCCCCGTCTGTCTTATAACCTGGCCAATTTGGTGACCTGTTCACTTGGCCTGATGAAGCTTTCGTGTCAAAAGCGAAACGTTGCCCAAATAAAAACTACCGATTGTTTACCAAGCTCTTCTGAAGCGATGACTTCTCAATCGGTTACAAACTTTTTCCAATTGATTGAATACTCACGCTTGTTTATCAATCTGGTTTTCACAGAAGACCCAACTGAATCTCTCGTTTACCACATTCTTCAACTGAATGTGCTGCACAAAAGCCGCCTTATGTTTCAGCCGGTATGATATTCGAGATATCGCGATATATTTTCGTAAAGGAAACTACTCTAAGGTTGTTGAAGAATCTTCGACCACCCATGACCGATTTCGCCCTTATGGGAGCTCATCAGGTAGGCGAAAATGATTGTATTTGTCTAAATCTGTCCAATTTGGGGTCAAGTAGAAAATAAGGTTCAGGAAATCTCGGGGACTGTGCTTACCTAATGAGCCGCAATTAGAGTGAAACCGGTCGTGGGCTGTCAAATGATTTTCAGCAACCATATGAGTAGTCTACCCCGTGAAGAAAATATTATAGTACCATTCACGACAAAGTATATCACGTGATTAGAGACCGGATAGGTCAATGTGCCGCACATTTACACACAAGCTGGTATACACAGTGTAACCTGGCCCCAGTAAGTTGGCCTCCTTTGATTGATGATAGTGCTGCCGCTAGGTGCTGCATTGCTATTGACTATGTTGTCTCTCGAAGGCTACTTAGATGCAGCACCATGCTTGCTAAGTCTAATTCCTTCTTAAGCGTGTGTTTTGCTCCAAAGTTTTTGTAAGCGACACCATCTGGTCTAAAAACCTTACGTGCACTTGTAAACGCTTGTACTTAAACGAGACGAAACTGGAGAAGTGCATATGTTGGCAGTACAATGTAGGTCTGCCGCAGACGCTACGTTTAGCAGAGCAAACCGTCGCGACATCACTAACCTGTTGATAAGCTGAGTTCAAGAACATGGAAGTGACTTTCTCAGTGCACAACAGAAGTTGCTTGAGAAAACCTGTCGCAATGGGAAGGAGAAAACTCCCCAACTCAGACAGGGCACATACAAAGTCGACGGCTTCGTGTAGACGGACGTTAGCAAAAACCAACTGCATATCTACAGAGCACATCTTTTCACTCTGAAGAGTAAGGACTAACTCGCCAATGAGATCCAGTCAATCTGTGAAATTGTATTGGCCAACCTTTAAATTAGGCTTCGAAATATCAACCAACGCGTCAGTTACTGTTGTATTGCGTTCGATAAGGCCAGGACTAGTCGCAACGATATACCAGGCTTATGAGTCTTCAGAGCTCAGTTATAGAATAATCACTCAGCTTCAGATGTCTGCGTGGCACATTGTCAATCCAACTGCGTTTGAAAAGCAAATCGAGGTGATGTGCTATTCGGCTTTCTACGTTGCTGGTAGGTTCTTTATTAAGTAATCTGCACTTTCGTGTCATTTAGTGTCACAAACATCTTGGATGAGTAGTCTTGCTCAACCATAAGACATCTGAACCTCTATCCGGTTTCAAGATGAGAACATTTCGCGCTCTCAGCTCAAATAAAGCCCACAGATGCTGTGTAGTTACAGCAGATTTGACAATCATATGAGTGTTGAGAAAATCGTAGGCAGGATCAGGTATCTAGTTTATGAACCAATTAGGGCTATCGGTGCTGGTAAGTCTCAGTCCTGTGGTTGGTGACAGAGACTTCCGAACCGCGCACTAATAAGTTATTCAAAAAAGGAATACGAACAGAGGGCGAGCGACAGTTACATCAGTTAAAGGATTTCCGGTCCCGTCGATTACCCCACCATCGAGAACTGGCTACTCTCCAACTCGGCAGTGTCACATTGTGTTAAGCGCTTTAAGCGTTTGGCAGATGACGGTCAACAAATATCTAAGCAAATATTTGCATCGTTTAGAGATTTTCAGGATCCTTCAGCAAAAGTAGATAATTGAGTAGGTCCATATTCGGCCAAATACAGTCACAGTAATACATAGCGCGCGAGTGGAGCTCCCAAGTAGAGGCATAGATCCCCACCTAGGTAAACCTACTCTAGAACCATCCCTCAACAGAACACAGTCTGAAAGTAAATTGACCAATGTCAACAGTTCCAAATGGGTAATAAGATATAAAGTGTTAGGAAGTTCAAGGGCACACTTCAACTAAGAGACTGATCCATGATTGCGTACTCTTCTGACCGCTGATGTGGTGTAGAACATTTTGACCGAACTTCAGCGTAGACCAGGCAACTCAATCCTGGGTTAAAGGTCAGCATATTCAGTTGCTCCAGCCTATGTGATGCCGGATTTGCCAGCCGAGTTATTCTAACAGGGATTTGGCGCCTGTCACCCTGGCACGGTCATGAGTACAACTACATGATCGACCGTCATCTTTCCTGCGGAATGTCCATCCAACTCAAACCTTTACGTATCAGTTGTCCCCAGCGATCGATGCCGTCAAATGAGTTTCAATTCCTGATAATAAAGGACGTGGTATCAACGACTTTGCTCCTGTTTTAGAATAAGAGTGAGAGATCCTTCGTTCAGACCAGTTCACCTCAGACATAAGGGCTGCCTTACAGCAACACCCACACCATTTGCTCCCTGAAGCAACTTTTCACGATTGGGTCTGTCAGCGGTCGCTGCAGAGGGATTTTACTGATGAGATTTTCACAAAATGAAACTCACCTGTTCCCTTTCTAACGTGGCTTTAGCCAAATCCGAACGCTCAATGTCACGCTCCTCTAGCAGTTGGCTGATGTGTTCTTCTTTTTCGCGGATAAGTCGCTGAGAAGGGATTAAAACAAAAACCCTCAATTCACTCAACAATGCAACAAACAACGGTCAACAAAAAAAAACAGAGATTTAGCGATTTAGTCAAGCTTCACATATCGATCAAATAAAGGCCACAGGTACGATTGACTGACATATAGTGACTATAGTGTGATCTCTATGGGAAGAAAGTCATGAGGGGTTAAAACGTCCTTACAAGAAAAGGTAAAATTGAACACTGGTTCATGGTACGCCAGCAGACCATCACCTACGTGGTTTCTCTGGCAAAGCCACAGTTCTGCATTTAAAACGAAACACGTGATCAGCTGTTGTTCAATGTGACTAGGTTGGGAATTCAATATGTCCACCGTGAATGCAGTCTCTAATCAAGATAACACATTCGACCACTAACCAGGGGATGGCGTTACACGCTTTACACCAGCATCCATTGGCATTAATTGGTAAGACGCACAGAATCTGGTGTGGCTAAGAACAGGTGACCCAGCCTCGAAGATAATGTGTATCGGACCAGTGACCACAGATACAAAGTTCCGACCACAGTGGAGGATATGTTGTGACAGGTGGGCTTTGCGGAGTTTGGTCACCGCGTTTGATATGGGTTAACACCAGTGAATTTATCTGAGGAAATGAGAACATATGTGTCTGATGGAGCAGCACGAGAACTATAGTTATTTCAATGATAACTTTTTGATAACTTTCATAGCGGCTTTCGCCCTTGAAATTTTGAGTGCCTGACGACATTATTTACCGACAAAGACTGGTTTGATCAACGCTGTAGATGTAAAAAAAAAAAGTAACCCCAAAATTTGTTTTCAATCACCAGCTTAATTGTATGTACTGGACTCAACAGCCATTTGTTCCACCGAAGTGAAGTGATGCACCTTGAATCCCGAATCCACCTAAAATCGCTTATATCGAGAGCAGTACTAACTTTGGAGAGTTTATTTGGCTGAAACAGACAGATTTTCTAGGCAAGCTCAACAAACACTGACCCGTCGGTTCATTATAGGTAAGCAGTTAGAGCTCTCGTCCCGGTTCGAAAGTGTTAGCCTCCAAGGCGCCCACACCTCTAGTGCTCAGACAGACGACTCGAATGCAAGATGGGGAAAAACAGGAGGGTGGCAACAAAGTTTGACTAACCTGGAGTGTTTGGATATTAGAAAGCTGTTCCTTTTGTACGGAATTATTAGCTACAGAGCCTGTACGTCGAGTTGTGGGAGTAGTTGTGCGGTTCTATGGAAAAAAAAGTGAAGTACGTGACTAGAAACAGCTTCCAGCTAATCACAAAAATAATGAATGAAAGAAATACCGTACCTCTGTAGATTCAAAGTAGACTGAAAAGTGCAATTTGATGAGACACATGGTTGTGCACTACAACCGTTTAAGGCTTGGCTAACTTGGTAGTGTCTCAGCCGTCCTGATTTCCTCAAGTGGCATGGAAGCTATGCATCGAAAGGATACCGCAACTGAACGGCTTCTTTCTTTCCATACTTGCTAATAGCTGCGTTGCTACAAAGTGTGGGTAGCGTCAGTTTTCCAAAAACAAGCAAGATAGCGCAGGAAGCATTAACAAAGTGAATGCAGAGTAGTAGTGGGTACACTTCCACCATACTTCGCACCGATCAAGACAACCGTATACCCTCTATATGTCGTGGAAAGACCGAAACCATCCGAGCTTGTAAAGTGTTCACTGCAAGGAAAACTAGGGTAATACAATTAACCCGTTCCCATTATCCATCGCAGCTGATGCGAACGCAGTGTCATTGTAGGAGTGATACCCTCGTCTAATTGGCTGATTGTGCTCTGAAGGGGCGACTCGTGTCTTCGACCTCTACCTGACAATCATCTCTTACCTGCGGAGCCAAAAAGCCGCTGGCACTTGACAGCGGCCACACCTCGGCATGCCACTTCGCAAACCAGGCGGGACAGACTAGGGTACCTGGTAACTTTAGACCTTCGGTGAAGCTCAAAGGTAAGTAAATGGAAACAGTCCTAGAGGACCATGCCGATAAAATCAGTCTACGTACAACAGCCATGATGGTGGTTGTGTCCAACCGCTGTACATATCTGCTATCTTGGTTGTGAAAAAGCTAGAGGTGTACTCTCAAACAAAAGCCATGGAACTCAGGATATCACTCATACCAAACTCTCAAGAAACCCTCGCGTCACTAACTCACGAATTCATTCATGCGTTCCCGGAAATCACTACAATGCGCGCTCTGCCAGGGTTGGGAGCGGCAAGAGGAAAAGTGTCTCTCCATGCTCTGACTGGAGCTGCCTAAAGGGCTGTCAAATCAAAAAAAATAAAATGATACATTGAAAAAGGTTACCGACACCATGAGCGCACAGTTCGTTTATGACGTGCCGTTAGAAAAAAGTGAACCGACCTATGTATCAACCTCACATGTGAAGGTCGACTGTGAGCGGCACTGATCCATAACATCAACGGAGCCAGCTCATTCAAAACCGGAACCAGTCCTCTCAAAGGCAAGCTGACTCACCTGAACACTGGGGGCATATTGAGCCCGGTATGAGCGGGATACAGAGCTCAAATTTGAACAGTAGGATAGTAGGGATTCTTGGCTACGACTAAAACAAAAAACGATAGCATGTGCAGTCAACAGCAAGTATGAAGGCACGAGAGCGATCAGAGTAAGAGTAAATTCCCCCGAAAAGTACACTAACTGTGGTTCACTTTCACCAAGTGGGCAAGGAAAAGTTATAAACACGCAGAGCAATCAGAAATTCACACTCATCTGTTATCCAGGAAAAGCACCGTTACACAACAATTCACTCAAATTTACATTAGCTGATATGAAGGGTACCTGAGACCTGGAAATACTGAAGAATTAATGGTCAATCTCTTTTAGTTCGTCCAAAAGAAAGCCCGATTGCTGCAAAAGCTTGACTGATGATCAGGTGTGTGTTGAGAGTATCCATGGCTGACTAGAAGGCACAGGCAGAGCGGGGAGTAAAGAGGCGTGCGACCGTAGCCGTCCAGCCGAACTGACTGGTTAGTGACTCAACATCGACCAACAGTAAAGAATTCACAGCAGTGAATTTGCAGCGGGTAATTTTATGGTTCTGGAGGTGAGCTGCGCTTGATGATTTGAACGAAAAGAGCATGGCTGATTTAGTACTACAATATCTATCTAACAAAACTCCTCCGAACAATGCACTGTCAAACCGTTGGGCGAACAAGCGCGAGCATAACAATTCTGTAGACGTCTGTGTAAAACCGGGATGGGCTTCAAAATACCGTGGATGTGTTGAGTACGTGGTCGAACAAATATACTGTGAGTCATTAATTCCTGTTCAAAACATTTGCCGAGAACTTCTAGTCACCCGTGATATGATACGAGTAGAGTGAAAATCTGAAGGCGCGGGTTTAAGTTTACCCGGCAGCAGAGAGACTGGCGCACTGTCTGCTTTTCCATCCAGGCACACATAGCATCAATCCATTTTGTTAAAGTATCACCCGGGAAAGAAGCTTGCAATCGGTGGCAGGTTTGAAAGCGCATATTAGTGGACAATCGCAGAGGCATGCTGATTCGGATGGAGGATTATCTTAGTTTTACTGTATGCGGATGCATGGCCCAGCTTAGTTAACAATAATTCACTCCTGCAATTATGCTCAGAACCCAGTGTGTGAGCCTGATAAAAATAAAAGGGTGTGGAAGTGAAAAGAGTAAAACGATGTATCGCAAATGTACTAGAGTAAAGCGAGCTCAAAGACGCTACACTCAGGAGCCGATAAAAGTGCAACAACCACAGTTACAACTCGTTATCCTATCAACAATCCGTGTTCATCTTAATTCACTGGCAGCAGCACAAGCAAACACCGGTGCTTTACCGCCATACAACTACTTTATTTGAGCAAATCCAAAGAAAGAATATGGAGCATGGAGGACCTAGGGCTAGCCTACCACAAAATTCCGAGGTACCTACACCTCCAACACTCAGTTAGGCAATCTGGATGGAAACTGACACCGCCGAACGTTCAGTGTCTCCAACCAAGCACAGGAAGGCACAGGTGGAACCAATCCTAGAAGGCGCACAGTACCGAAATTGCCCAAACTTTTTGTGAGATCTTTCGTTCATATCCTTAATATCTTTCATTCATATTCTGTTCACCTTCAGGTTTCCGCAACTTCGAATCAGGCACGCGGAATAAGGCCCTTCTCAGCAGGCGGTAACCCAGCATGTGAAACACATGGCCCAATAAACTTAACTTATTGTGCTGGATGCATTCCTTAGTGAAGTACCATCTGCTTCATTCAGATCCCTCCTCTTGATCAACTAATTCCAAATTCAATGGTTCCAGCTTATTCCAGCTATAGTTCTGAGACGCCGGTGGCCAAAGATCTCAAGATGTTTCAAGTTCTGCACCCGAAGTAGCTATGTCTCGCGGCATAACAACAATTCAGCGCGCTCTACGGTCTGATACACGCATCTTTTGAAACCCATTGATATGCCTTTTGATGTCTCAAGTGGCACATATTGGCAAAAGCAATTCTGGCCCTTGAGACTCGTGTGTTGACTTTGCCTGTTTAGCTGCCGTCAGAATCGATGCAACTTCCAAGATACATATAATGTCTTGCAAGTTCCAGTGTCACTCCTCAAGTTCTTATTGGGTGTACAAAGCTGCGTGTCCAGTAGCATGAATTCGCACTTTGTGGGTACGAAGCACATGACTAAGGACTGGATAAACTAGAACAGATTTCTTAGTGATGCTTGCACTTTCTGTACTCTTCAGAAATGAGAACAATGTCATCCGCATATTCCAGGTCAACAAATTTCTCGCAATGAAATATCTCAACACAGGGGGTTTGGAAACCCCCTAGAATGAGCTTCACTACCTCACCAATGACGGAATCCAACGCACTCTTGAAATCAAGAAACGTTAAGATTTTAGGGCGCCTACATGCGTGTTGTCACTTTACTACTGGACAGGATGAGGTGGTGTGGTTCACACAGCCCCTACCAGACTTGCTGTTATCGATTCCCGTCATAACGCTCCTTCGTTAGACGACGTAAAACACGCAACGCAAAGGGCTTGGTTACAATGGGGATCAATTCAACTCCTCCATGACTGTCACATCCATTGTGAGCACCTTTTTTTGGAAATGGGCACTACCACTGAATTACCCCAACTGACTGGGGTGATCTTTTTCGCCAGACAGAGGCAATTAAGCTAGACAAGCAAACAGTGAAGATTTCATCCTACATCTTTGAACAGAGCGGGTGAGAGTTCGTCAGGACCGACAGCTCGGAGGCTAAAGAGAGACAAGCCATTCGCTCAGATCCGACCTATTCAATTCAATTCATCGATTGACAGGCTTATAGTAGCTCTTTTCCAACTTTGACAAAGAGGAAGTATATTAGAAGCTAATGCTCAGTTAGGGTGCGCAAAGCTACTATCAAAGTGTTTGAAAATGCCATTGGTAGGAATAGCGGAAGATATGTTGACACGCACACGTGTCTTCGTGGAAGAGCAAAACATCACAGAAGTTCGAATTTCGCGTCTCATACAACTACGTGGTCTCTACAATTTAACAAACGCCTGAAAACATTGGAAGGCTCCAAATAGTCGACCATATCGCATATTCGGGAATACCAAGAATCATCGCTACTGGAAACAGGGTTGTAAGGTCGGGCGAGACCCGAATGTAAACTGGTTAGTGAGATTACATGTGTCTATTTGACAGTATGCTACCCAAAAATCTGCAAATCGCGTACAACAAAAAAGTTGATAAAAACAACTCACCGGTTGTTTGCACCCGCGCTATTGCGCGCAGTAACTTGGGAACCGGCAGGCATTAGCTTGTTAGCCGCCGCAAATAAACCAAAGTTGGGTTTACAGGCGAAGTAGCTGGAAATTGGAGGAGAATAGCAATGCTTGTAGAATTACAGGAAATAAGAACAATGAACAAAGGCGACGGTGGCTTCAGAAAAAGTGGAAGACGTACCGTTTCCCTCCAACGGACCCATCGTTCTTGCCTAGGGGTTCATCCAACTCAATCCCCGCCCACTCACCAGCAGCGAATTCTGTCGGACCCAAGAATCGCAACACTCCGACACGACCTCCAGATATCTGAACACGGTCTCCAAGCTGAAACTGGGACTGTCGGGTCTCCGGCCTAGATCCGCCAGATGCAGGTAGTACAGGGGACGGTGAGACGGACGCCTTAGGGGACGCATGAGGCTCTCGATCACCATCCGAAGTTGTACCTAAATGCTAAAAGCAAAACAATAAGCATTCCTGATAACAGCTTACTCGGAACTCGGTTCGCATTTTAGCGGTTGCAATAGGTTTTACACAAGCGGTTAGCGACTGGCTCTCCATGGATACCGTGAAAATACCACATAGTTCAATTAACTGGGTATAACGACAGATACGAAGGTGAGGGATTCTTAGTCGGCGATATGTATAAATGGTGAATCAAAAAAGCTCATGCCGTAGAATTGAACTAAGGGATGAGGAAACCCGAATTCAGTTATTAAAGAAAAGTATCCACAAGGAAAGATGTTCACATATGCTTCCTTTTTACCAGATCATTACCAACGGCAGACACAACCAACACATAATCCTCAGAAAGTACAAGGGTCGATAATAACACGTTACGCAAGCCTGAATAGTAGTCAAAGAACTCAACAGTACTCAAACGACGGGCCTCAGATCATTAGAGGGCAGGCTAATCACCGAGACATATAGATTTAGTAGACAGCAGTCTCAAACTTATCAATGGAGTTTACGTTTTCACAACTCAAATTTCGAGTTCATACCTTGTATTCCAAGTAACGTGTATATGGATCCAGACTGCAGAAACAGGTATGAAGTTTGATAGCTATTCTTTAAAATCCAGATGCCAGTATGAAGACCACAAAACCAGTTGGATTTCGGCGAAAAAGTATCCTTACTAGTAGCAGTCAGAAAAGTTGAGTTCAGCAAACCGTATTCAAAACCAACCGTTTCTGGTTTATGTAGGGAAAACGTTTTAGGACAAGTGATACATGTCCACTGATCGGCCAGAAAATCACAAAAATTAAGGAAAGCGAGAATATCATGGACACACGTGAAAACAAGATGGCTATATGTGAACCCACACCGCGTGGTACGAAACACCAGGATCTGAGCACTGGTGTGTGGAAGCCAACTTACCAAGTTGACTTGAGAATTGGCTGTCTCAAGCATCAGTGTGAATTCTTACATTCTGATGACAAACGACAAAGGTATCTCAGAAGCAGAAGGAAGATACTTCTTATCGCAACTTGGAAAACTCGTCGTCGTTCAGCTGTAACACCCTTTCGGTGCCCAGCTGCCATGCCACCCGAAGGAAGCACGAGGGGTGGAATACTGCCAGGTTGCCCAAGCCTAGACAGGGGAAGTCGAGAGGCAGAGGTCGGGTTCGAACCATGGACCTTCCGGTCAGTAGACTCGCGCTTTAACCACTTGGGCCATCTCGGCCCTTTGAAAACTCACTTATGATGAAACAACCAGTGTATTTCGTGAACACTTGGAGACTCTAAAGTAAGGGTACCCGCAAACACCCTTGAAGGATGACTGCGGGGGAAGTTTCTGTATCACTTTTTTAATTCTCTTCTGCGTGGCAGCTGCCTTACAAGACAGATAGATTTTATTCAGTTTCAAATTACACCTACCAACCCCTATTACAGCATAGTTCGCAAGTCAACTAAGGAGTGGAAATTCCGAGGGTGACCTTAGGACAATATACCAACCAAAAGTTCACGTTCCTAACCCTCAGCTAGGTCCAGTTCCGTGGTACTGGTTGGTCTACCAACATGTAGCGCTCTCACTTACAAGGCACCGGAAAACAACACGACTGTGTGCAACATAAAAGATCAAGGAACTATCCACGAATGATACAACCTGAGTAAAAAAAGAGCGATAAAAAGATTCCATCTTTCTACTGCAGCAGAATAACCAAACAGCCAAAAGCCCAAAAGACCACCATAGACAGAAAAAGGAGGGTTATACGAATGAAGCACCCCCGTGCACAGAATATAACTGCGTTCCAGACCATGATACAACCACGAGCATCAGTCCCAAACACGACCCTTGGTGCAAGCATAAAGGTGAGCAATTATTCAGGGATTAAGTCTGAGATAAACTTTGGAGGTCTTGAAAAACTTACGATTGGACTCTTTTCACAAAGAGTAAACCGACGCAGGTTTTGGCGCTTCGCAAAAATACCGTAAGACGGTTGGCAAGTAAAGTAAGTGACGCCGCCAACAGAGCCGTCGTTCTTTCCGTTCGGTGTGGACAAAATAACACCTATCCATTCACCCGCTGCAAACTGCGTCTCTCCTATGAACGCTATCTTTCCAAGTCGCTCATTGCCACTACCGACATACACATCATCGCCCAAGGAAAAGGCCTCGAGACTAGACTCACACGAAGCTCCGTCTGTTGAATTCATAGTTAGACGATCGATAGACAATAAGCATGCCCAGATACTGCGCTATGAAATGTGCTAAAAATGAATAAATTGTACAATTTGAAACATGACTTGAAAAAGCAAGAATATCCTCCCTGGGGGTACGAAAGATGTGATAGATTATTGAACCCAATAGGTAGTGGAAAAGAATGAACAACCACATGTTGATGGGCTCAGCGTGGTGGCTAGGATCCAAAATTTTGGCAACGGTACCATACACACTCGTGAAGTGCAGGGGCACTTTCTTTGGACATACATTCAAGGCTGTTGTCTCCTTCGAACACCCGCACGGATTCCAATATCGCTTTAGTACGGGCTCCTACAGCTGTCATCTTGCCGTCCTCGTCGAGCTTCAGTGTTGCAATGATCGTGCGAACTACACTGACTGGAACCCAACTCCCCACTGTTCAACCATACCAGGAAGGCCAACGGTGAACAGTCCGACGAAAAACAGCGAACCTCGTACTGCAAAAGATCGTATTACGAGGTGATTTGCAGATAAAGTCCTCTGCTACGGGATTTTGGAGGCGGGGAGGCGTTTCCCCCCAAACGACCAGCAAATCCATATTTATGAAGGCAGGGATGCTATCTTTTCCCCAGGAAGGACGAGTTAAAGAAAATTCGGTCCCCAAAGACCCACAATCCGATTGCCCAGCGGTTAACCGTGACCGTAGACGCAGTATTCAATACGGTCGAATTATTTTTAAAACCAAATAGTCTGGTGCTGCTCAGAAGGCGCCTGCTGTACACAGCCGCATTAGGATTTAGACAGTATTGCCTTACTCTTTGCATCCTCGTGGCGGGTCAGCCACCTGCAGCCAACTGAGTCACTGGCTCCCAGAAGGATCCCCCGAGAAAACCCTAACAACGGCTGTCTCACTATTCAAAGGTGGAAGATAGGGGAAGGGTCCCTGAACAAAACCCCATGTCCTCCCACTGCCTTGTGGGTCAAAGGGTCAAGGTCGAGCACGTCAACCTAACCCCCTTCTTCGGTTTGGACAAGGAGAAGCATAACTCTCATTTGAAGCTATTCGCTCATCAGCCCTCCCACACAACCCTTCCCATCCATCAAAGGATGCAGTGCGATCAGCCCATCAGACAGTCCCCCAGCTGCTTCACGGGTCTAAAACGTCTCCAATGAGTATAAACCCAAATCATTGATTATTGAGTTCAAAGAAGCTCATGAATGCTGAAGTCTTCAGTGTGAGGCTCCATCATCATCGACAGCATAACACCAGTGTCCAACACTGATGCTTCACTGCCCTCAATGTCCGTACTCCATGTCATATTGGGCAGCAGGCATCTCTTCCTGAAACCTTGCTTTCCCTATCTGTCTATGTATGTTGTGTCTCCTAAACACGCAAACAAGACCCCGCCTCGTTCATGCACCTCAAACCGTTCAGGATGAATGCAGGTGTTTCACTCTTCAGGTATCCGGTGGTCCTGAAAAAATGGATCATGATACTTATGGTATGGAAGTGGCATACAGCCCCGGAGCTAAAAACGCTTTACTAGACTGGATCCCAGTAAACAGTCATCTTTACGCTGTGCGGTTGTCTGGCTAAATTAAGATCAATGTAGGTAGATGCGGTATGAGATGTTTAGTTGTCGTATCGGCATACGCCCCGACATACTGCAGTTCTGAGACTGAGAAAAACGGGTTTTATCAAGGTCTGTCAAAACTGCTTCGGTCAGCAAGAATGATATAGTAATCCTAGCGAGTGATATGAACGCTCAAGTTGGACGGCAGTGAAGCATCGGTATTGAACACTGATGTCATGCTGCCCATGAAGATAATGATCAAGTTGGAGGGATAAGTCCGGAATAAGCACAATTAGGTGATAGATTTGGAGGAGATGCTCACCGTACGGATAGCAGACTGGACGAACTCCTTCAGTTGTGCATTGATCGTTGTTCTTGGCTAGGTGATAGATTTGGAGGAGATGCTCACCGTACGGATAGCAGACTGGACGAACTCCTTCAGTTGTGCATTGATCGTCTGTTCTTGGCCAGTACGAACTTCCAACACAAACGCTGATATCGAGTTAACTGGTGGCTATTAACCGCAAGACAGCCCTCGATCCAATTGCAACATGTCGCGATCAGTTACCGATGGACAGCCTCAATTAAGGATAGTCGTTCCCTCTGGGGTACGTGGCTTGACTCTGATCATGCCACTGTGCAGGCCCAGGTATACGTTTGCTTTCCGACAGCATTATGCGTCCCGTTCACTCAAGTGCGACAAATTTCAATAGCTCAAGAGTTTAAACTCTGGCGAGAAAGGTGCTGGAAACGCATAGTCATCCAAACGAAGATTCTTTGCACGTTGAATGGAGGTCATTCTCTTCGCCTTCATAACTGTCTGTCCGAACTATCTGACCCGACTAAATGGATACTAGATACTGTCGAGATCAGTGGATCTTACTGCTGCTAGAGACTGTAATAGCACATGCAAACCGCTCGAACACCAGATAATCAGGAGCTTGAAGTGACACAGAACGCTCGTGGATTTCGAAGGCCTACAAGAAGCAGAAGGCTTTCTCTGCAGGCAACAGTCGGGCCCCATATCAGCTGATTCAATCAACCGGTCAAAAGAAGACGAGTGTCAGCAAAACGATATGCGAAAAAGACGTCACTCACAAAATGGCCGTTACGAGATGGGATGAGCACTTCAAAGAACAGTTCAGCTAGTCCCTTTAAAACTGTAATAGCACATGCAAACCGCTCGAACACCAGATAATCAGGAGCTTGAAGTGACACAGAACGCTCGTGGATTTCGAAGGCCTACAAGAAGCAGAAGGCTTTCTCTGCAGGCAACAGTCGGGCCCCATATCAGCTGATTCAATCAACCGGTCAAAAGAAGACGAGTGTCAGCAAAACGATATGCGAAAAAGACGTCACTCACAAAATGGCCGTTACGAGATGGGATGAGCACTTCAAAGAACAGTTCAGCTAGTCTCCTTTAAAACAACCCTGAAAGAACCCCGAAAGCCAGAACGGAACAGCGACACCAGCCGGCCGTCAACAACAGAAATCCAGCGTGAAGTATCAATCCTCTAACACGACGAGGCACCTGGGCCGGGTGGTCTGCATTCTACGCCCTTCAAAGGTGGTGAGTGCCATAACTACGTAAGCCGTACCTTTGCACATACCATTAACTCGTAATTCGCACTATATTCTCGGCTCATGTACTACCATTACAAGACAATTAAAGCGTACCTTACGCATTTCTATTCTGTCTTCCTTCTAATCTCAACCTGGAACTGTTCGGCTCCCGCAACAGTGAGGTTCTGGTGAACAGTCTGACGACCATACTGCGGAAGATTTAGAAAACAAGAATACCAGTGCAATGGACCTACTCCACCTTCATCTCAGACTTAAAAGGGCGCAAGAACGTCATTCGGAAAACATTAGGCATCAGTCTGTTACTCTCTGGTATTACTTTGCGCAGATTGATCGATTATCGTGATTGTCGGCATCGATCATATCTTTAACTTGAGACAACTCAAGATAGCTCAGTGGTTAAGGAGCGGACGTGTTGATCAGAAGGTCCATTGCCCGAAACCTATCTCTGCATCCCGACTGCTTCTGACTAGGCTTTGGCAGTCTTGAAGTTTCTCGACACTCGTACTTCCCTCGGGTGGCATGGTAGCTAGACAACAAATGGGTGCTACAGCTGAAGTTCCCGAAAAGTCCTCGAAAACAGCCACTCTTTCAAGCGTCTCACAATATTAGCCTTTCTGGATTTTAAAGCTGCTTTGGACTCTCTCGACCGTCAAAAACGTTGGCAGTGTCTTGCGATCAAGGGTGTTCCTTATAAATTTATTTCACTTATGAAGGCACTGTAGGCGAACTCATGTGGTAGAGCACGTGTATTGGCAAGTTTTCGTCTGAGTTCACCGCCTCCAATAGTGTACCATAGCCCTGTCCTCTCTAGCCTCTCCTTTCCAACCTTGTTAGTGATCTGCTACCTTAAATTTCTTTGACTAATCTATCTGGCTGCCTTCAATGTCCGCAACCTGAAGCAAGTAGGACAACAATCTGCTCTTGCTGTGTAGCAGGAACAAGGATTCAAGATGCAAGCACAGTGGTTAAATTGCCCCATCATTCTCCACTCGCTTCCGGTGGCGAACGTCTGGCGATTCCGAGGCTGCTCCAGCAGGATGTGCGGGGGTTGGTATCGTCCCAAGTCACCGGGAGGAAATGTCTTTGCTTGACGGGATACCCGTTGAGAATCGTCTCTGTGCGGTTCGTCTGGCGACGTCTGTACAGGAGCCTCAAGCGGGAAGTTGATCGGTGTCTGTTTGTCGTGTCTACTTACGCCCCAACTGACTGCAGCTGTCACATCATTGAATAAAAGTTTTATGACGTCCTAAATGCCCTGTTGCGGCGAGCTAAGAGCTCAGTTATCGTTACGGTTGCTGGTGAACTGAATGCACAAGTGAGCAGGCTTAGCGTGTATGAGACTTCAGAGTAGCGGATTCCAAACACGCAGTCGTCCGGAGTCGCTTCTCTTTTCGTTTACCAGGGCCGCGTGAGGTGCGGGTAACTGGCTTCGCAGCTGAGACTGGCAGATCGGGATGTTAAACCAATTTACCGGAATCGTCTTCTCCAACTACCACACCATCAGATGTGGATTCATACTGCGACGAGATCGCCACCTCTTTGCACAGTGCTGGGAGTTTTGCCTGTCGCACAGTGCTACTAGGTCAACCCAAGCGCTGGATATCAGACAAAACAGTGGAACTGCTTAGATCTCGGAGAAATGTCCCCGCCAGTCCATAAAATGATTTGACCCGACGAATTACCATACGTCAAGCGAAGTGATTATGTACGCCGACCGTGAAGTCTGGTTGACTCGTTGAGTTAAAGAAGTGGAAGAGGTCCAGTAAGCTTGGATTGATCCGTGCAATCCATCCCCGGAAACTACCTGTGAATGTAACCATCAACGATCAGACTATCACTACCACCCTGAATAAAAAAGAACGCCTCGAATACTGGGCCCTACACTGTGCATACCGTTTCTCTTGGACACTCGATGCCACTCATTCAGACCTTACAGATGACGTGAAAACCTGGACGGTGAATGTGGAGCCCCCTTCACCCTATATAGCTGCATATCCACTCTCAAGAGATAGCGAGCTCCTGGTCTGGACGATTTGTACGGATCTATCCAAGATGAAGGCAAAGTCCTCAGTCGGCGCTTGTCTGATCTGTTTGTCTGCATTTGAGAAAAGGAGACTGTCATGGGACCGTATACTTGTTCTGGTTTTCAAACGTTTCATTGTTCATTGCTAAGTCACTCTTCTTTCTTTTCAGCTCTCAGTGTCAAAGTTTTAGATGAATAAAGCCTAGCTTCCTGGTCTGGTCTTTCCCAGTCTTACTCTAATTGTCATTGCACTCCATCCATCGTCGAATACAACACCCACACAACTGAAGGGAGTCAATGATAGTACTCATTTTTAAAATGGGGGCTCTTAGTGAGTGTGGCAACCACGTGGGAATCAGCTTCGTCTAGATTGTAATGAGATTACTGGCGTCACTTGTGCTTCATCGCCCTATGGTGTCGCGTGAAACACTGACTCGAGAGGACCAAGCAAAATTCCGGCCTGGTAGGGAGTTGCGTTGACCAAATCTTCACCCTGTGTCTGATGCTAACACAACGCCATATGTATAAGCGACCGACAATCCTGGTATTGCTGGATTTCCAAGGCGAATTCAACTCGGTTTACCGGTCTGTTCTTCTTGACACGCTTGCCCATGAAGGAATGCCCCGGCGTTTCGTGAACATAATAAGTTCACCGGATCATCAGACTTCTGGAAATGAGAGTATACGGAGAGCTCACCAAATCTCCCGTACACAAAGCGGCGTCCGTCAGGGAAACCCAATCCATCCATTCCTATTTAATTTCGTGATCGATTAAATAATGAGATGAACGCTAGGTCTTTCAAACCCTGGTGTTCAAATAGCCTCTGACAAAAACCTTGTCGATTTGGAATATGCATACGATATCGTCCTCGTCTTCGAGGCGCAGGCGCTTTGTTTGAAATGATCAAAATCACCCCGTCCTTCCGGATGCACTTTGCACCCACAAGGCGTGAGGTTATGCTCGTGGATATGCAGTCACTAAACACGCCATTTACAATCCAGGGAGGCAATCGAACTTGCGAGGCGTTTTACGTACCTTGGAAGCTTAGTTCTGATTGCAGTGTGACAGATGAGGTCAATCCACACATATCCACGGCTCGGGTCGCGTTTGCTAGTTTGAGACACCTATAGCGTAAAAGCGTTATATCCCTGAATCTTAAGGGACATGTATATCAGGCTAAAGAACTATCGTTTGCTGGAGTGTTGTTTTCTGTGCCCGATTCAGGGTGGAGGAAGCAGAGGGGAGACCCTCCACCTGGCAGATGGATATGAAATAGGTTATGAAACGTTTGGGTGCTGTTGGTGCTACTCACCTTCCAGGATGGGGACCGTGTGATCCCCACTGCGCCTGGTTGGATACGTCGCAGGACATAGCTGCTAATCGATACCAATGGCGTTCTTGCTATGTCTTAATCCAGGAGTAGACACCTCAGAATGATTGTGTAACCTAGCATACGGGCGAAATTGCCCAAGTGGTTGGGGCACGAATTTACTGATCGGAAGGTCCTTGGTTCGAACCCAATCTCTGCTTCTCGACTTCCCCTGTTTAGGCTTGGGCAACCTGGCAGTATCTCAGC